ACACTGATGAGCCTCGGGGTTGGTGAGTAGCGAGATGATTCGTCTGAAACGAATCACTTCGTTACTCACCAACCCCTCACTTCAAGTTTTATATATTTTCAGATTTGCTAACACTTGTTTTTCTTTATTTTGAGCATGCGGTATCGCTAGAAGCTAGGGACCACTTAGGTGCCACCTCCGTCGGTTCTTCTCTATGCACCCGTAAGAGGGAATTCTCTCGAGAATGGTATTCCTGTTACCAATCAGTGACCGAGAATGGTCCGCTGACCGGCTCCAGCGCTTCGATGGTTTACACCGAGATCCCAAGCAGAAGCTATGTTGCATTTCCAACGCAGCTTGCGCATCGTGTGCGACGACCAAGGCCGCGGGCAATGATCGTCGGACACATTTACAGGAGGCCATGGTAATTTTCCCTCTCTGTGGTACCCATTACGAGAGTAATTCACTCTCATGGCGTCAGAAGCCGGGTGAGCTCCGGATCGCCATGTAGTCCTTTGGGTGGTCGGTTCTTCCAGTCTGGTTTGTACTAAGGTTGCCACCCTTGAAACTTTTCCGAACGCAAGCTCCCTGTAAACCCTTCCCAACCTTACCCTCGAAACGTTCCCGTGGTCCAACACCGCTTTCCTCAGCAATTCAGCAGTACGGCCGCGACTCTGACGGCTCTCGCGTCTTTGACGCGTGTATTCGGCTTAGTAGTTCTAACGTAGAGGACAATCCTGTTTATGACCTGGTGTCGCGTATGGATATGTCATACTTCACCGGTGACCAGACTGTTAACATTCTTTATGCCAATCAAGCGGCGGGCGCTAGGGAGGAGGAATATCTCCGCCCCTTCCAGTTCTCCTATGGTGTCCGTTCGTTCACAGTCTACCATCGCTTTCTCACGCTGACAACAGACCAAAGACATGTCATCGTAACCAAGTCGACAAACGCGGCGGTAGCTCAACTCACAGAAACGCCGCTGTCCTCAGGCGATTTTCCCGAAATGAAAGTGGTTTGCCACATCTCGGGCACTGCCGCGGCGGATAATTTCACGCTCACACCTGTGGATTTCAGCCAGGTGCTCCTTACTCTGGGTGACACATTTAGACACCAGCTTTCGGAAGAGGATTTGGAAGTATGCAGGCGCTTTCAACGATATCGCACTATAATCGAAATTATATCGGCTAATGTCTCCATACCCTTCCATACCCACTTCACTTCCGCCACTAGAAGAGGAAGCATTAGATGGTATGAAACAATTAATAATCAGGCGCTTTCGCCTCTTTCAGGGAATAGAACATATTTCCGGCGATGCATTATAAAGATGGTGAACAGAAATCCATCTGTAAATGTCGTCATAGACAGCCGCCATTGATAAGTTTGAACATGTTATTTCAATTTTGCCGCAGTGTCGCGACTCATCCAAAAACTCTTTGAATAGGCGGTTCAATGAGACCGCACGCAGCGTATACCCCACTTTTTTCTAACCTCAAAAACAAAAAAAGTAATACGCCCCTATACTAGTCGCTCTCAGCAAGACTAGTATTCGCTTCACAGTATTTTGATGATGTCCGCATATCATTCGAACCTCANTGTGCATAGACTGATATTCGTATCACAGTTTACATACCAGTTCGAAAATACTTAGCATAAGTCGTCCTGGTATTGTTATTGTTGTAGACTTTAACTACGACACATTTTGTTTAGTCAAGTTGTCATAAGCCTTATTATATTGTCTTACTTCGCTGTAACTTCTATCACATACTATAGAACAAAAATTGTCTAACTCGTAGAATTAGCCTTACTATGACATTATGAGACCGATATCAATTATCATGGTGTATAAGGATAACTCATAGGTTAGCTGATCACCAATGCAACCAACTCGTCAAAATCCCATAGATATGTTGTTATATGACGCTTACATCGAACGACACTTTTATGACGTTTATCCGTATCACCACCCTACCACTTCTTTTCGGCTCGAGGTCGAGCCTTTTTCTCGAAGGTGTGGCGAGAACCCTCATGGACAACATTTTTTTGTACTTTCTAACTGTTTCTGTGTAACGCCGTCTGCCACCTACCTCGTCTACATAACTGCCAGTCAACTAGTAACACGATGTTCTAGGATACGAATCCATTCTATCCGTTTTTCATCAACTTTCCATCTCTCTCTTTGATGAAGCACAGTACCGCTTGAGAGCTCATTTAAAGCTCGAGGACGAGCTTACTGTAAGGAATGGAGATGTCGTATCGTCGCTGCCCGACAGCCACCAGGACGAGACCACCTGTTCACGGACGTTACACGGGGCCACTATAAAACAAGCCAGATACCGGCAACTTGGCCTCTACACATCTCGAGCGTCTAGCTCTGTGTGGCTTGCCCATCGTATCGGCTATAGCCGCCTTGTCCTGGCCTACCCCTTCATCCAGTCATGTTATAATATATAGAAGTAATAAAATATGTATATACCCTCTGTTCTTTGAACCCACTTATGAACTCACCTCCCGCCAAGCTATCAGTTATATAGGTCTGATCACCCTATAATCTGATACCCCGAACGATCCCGGAAATGAGGGAGACGGGAAGGAGGAATATGTGGTATCGAAACGATATGTAATAAAACATGTATATACCCTCTGTTCTTTGAACCCATCACGTATTACGCACACTCAAGCGCATGGTTAAAATCCTGTTCGCGGTAAGCCGTTCCTCGGTATTATGTGTGACTATCTCCTCCCTCCTCGACTCAACAGCGCGCTCTGGAATCTTTGAGTCTTTCATCCCATCGCTCACTGCCGATATACCTCGACATCTCCTTTATGTTCATAAATGGGAGAGGTACAACCGTCCGAGCCCCCCAAAAAATCCTTGTACAACGAGGATGAGGCCATCATTTGCCGCCCCTCCTACGAAGCCTGATTGAGGCAAGAATTCCCCCGCAAAGCATATACGTAATAACTTTTTACAGGGAACAGTATCGCCATGGAAGGAAAAAATGGGCGATCTTCGCTTCGAACTCACCACGGTCGACTCAATCCAAGGACGCTAAAAGGAAGTGGTATTACTATTACTATTACTATTAACTACAAAAACAAAGTTTTCTCACGATCCAGATGCTGAATTCATCAAGGACTACCGACGCCTAAACGTCGCCATAACTCGATTTCAATAGGGTCCATCGTCATCTTGGGACAGGCTGTCTCCCTCCGCCATGTACCGATATGAAACACCCTGTTTCATTGAGCGGACTCCATCAGCGCCTTCGTTACACCCGCACAAGTCCCACGATAAGCCGTAGCAGGCCGTAGTAGTGCTTCTTTTTTGGTGAGGCGCTTCCTCTTTTTCTCCATGGATATGTGCCCCTCCGAATGTCCGGGTCGGACTTTGGGCAAAGGGGAGCTGTAAGCCGCACTGGCCGTTGAACTAGCTCGGCGATCAGATAACTATGTTTTCAGACGGTTCACCGAAAAATTTCAGGACGGACCGGCGAGCAAGAGGACTGGAGCGAGGAGACGACGAGGTTAGATGCCCACGGACGGCATCCATGGTTCCATCTCCACCTCGCCACAACTACCATCTTCTCAGTGGAACGATCTCTTCCTGCGTGTATCTATGCCTAGTTAACCTTTAGCCAGGGCTCTTTGTATTTTTCCGATTCCTCTGTATGATCCTATCTGGTTGTGACAAATATATGATTCTCTTTGGACGATTTGCCGATAAATTAGTCATAACCAACCAGTTTTCCACAGAAGCAGAAATGAAGCACGCTCCGCAATGTGCGCGAGCTTACTTCACTCACACTCCGGAAACGAAAATTCAGAACGGGCACTTGCCTCTTACAGTAACCCCCTGGCTTGCCCACCAACAACTCAGTGTCCTTGCCTAAGGCCGTTTTCAACGCCTCGTATATGCGACGGGAGTAAATTTGCATTTCAACACCTGTCGGATTACTGTATGAGCCGAGTGCTGTACTGAATTTTCGTTTCTGTCACTCACACTTGCTGAATGGCGGGCTCTATGAACGCTATTTCCGCTAGCCGCTGCCTCGGCGGCTTCGTCGTTCCAGCACAGCAGAAAAGAGGAGACTATTTCTGCGCCTTTGGGCAGGTGGGCGATTTGCTCCCCTTTCCGTCACCTATAGACGCCCTGCATAGCCTCGTCACTAACCGATTAGAGATCTTTCAGTGAGAGAGATCACCTATAAAGGAGATTATATTATATCATTACATAATTCATATTTTGTCTATATAAGTACATCCTTGTAAAGAAGGACCTATGGTAAGGCTAACAACCAGTACCAGTACCAACCAATAGGATACTCGTGGACAGAGGATTACCACCACTATACTTATCGCAAACTAGTTGAAGACTTGGGGCACAAATTAAGGTTCATGAGCTTCAATTTCTGCAATCAATGACTATACTCATAGAAGAACAGACTAGATAAGACACAGAGAGGGATATGATCAATTGAAAGAGGCAACGCAATCGAATCTTCTTTGTTCCTTCTGCAGAAGGCTACGTTGAGTTGCCTAGAAGATAAGCTATTATAGATTCGCGTATGAGAGCTCACCCGCAATCTTAGGGGGAATGAACACCAAAGTGCACCAACGCTTGTAGGTGTGGTGAGCGAGCCATATTTAGTATTCAAATCACACGCATGAAGAGAATCCTATCTTTTCAAATCAATGTCGAGAATACCTTTGCTATAATAGATTTGACAGCCATGTCAAACCTATTTAAGCAAAGGTGCTAGGAATCCAGAGTGTTTATTGCCAAAGCGCCTTCTAAGCATTGCTGGTACTCATTCATTCCCTTACCATAATCACGGAACGCATTCTCTACTTCCGTGTTATTGTGTGACCCCAGCGGTTAAGCATGACTCAGCCTATTGATTACCGCGGCGGAAGCGCGCGCCAAAAAGGGCGTGCACCTTCACAGAGGCGATTTTCAAACTCGCGTCTAGCTGGTAGACGCCTCATTAGCTACCTTTCTGTGCCTGCTCTGTGTCAGAATGCCTTCAAGATCGTCTCGTCATGGATCTGAAAGGCACACGAGAAGAGAAAGTAGCCGTAACGGCGAGAGGAACAGGAGGCGCGGGCGAAGGGGACCGTATTCTGTGTACGTCTACCGCGTACTCAAGGAAATGTACCCGGACGCTTGGATCTCGTCAAAGGCAATGTCGATTATGAACTCATTCGTAAGCGATATCGTCGAACGGCTTGCGGTCGAATCAGCTCGTCTTGTACGCTATAACAACCGTACCACAATCACTCCTCGTGACATCAACAGCGCTGCTCGTCTGACCCTTCCTGGAGAAGTCGCCACACAGGCAGTTACTCATAGTCGTGTAGCTGTCGCTAAGCACTCTGCTCTCAAACACAGCAAATAGGCCGAATCACTCGCCAAAATTTATGATCGAGTTCTTGTTTCAACTGCATCTGAAGTGAGTACTGCATGTAATGTTCTTTTCACGTTGTCTTGCAAGTCGGTCTTCTGATAAAGAGTTCTGTTGACAGTTTACTTCGATTGCTAAGTACCGTGTATTTCTCACTATCATACTTTTACAAACGTTTGTGTGTTTCTGAATAGTATATCTCATGATTCTTGTCCATGATTCACTGTTAAAGACAAGCTACAGGTGCTTACAAGAACAACAATTTGCAGGAAACATAAAATAGTTTGTAAAATACAAGTTTGATCCTTGACGGGGTCATTTCATATTCAAAACACGCCCTCGAGTGCGGTCGTAGCAGCAAGCATAAACTTTAGGGGGGACGAAACACGCCCATAACTGGATGGACACGGCAAATGGTGTGGGGAAATTCGTGGCGATTGTAACGACTTGAGCGCCTGTCATTAGGGCCAAATTTGTAGTAGAGTCGATTAGTACGATGATCTGACCATACTAATGAACTCTACTTCGAATTTGCGCACAAATGGTATGTGCCAAAGTCGTGCTAAATGCCACGAATTTCGCCGCGCAATTGCCGCGTTCATCCAGTTCTGGGCGAATGTGCCCATACCCAAACTTTAGTGAACTGTTTCGTGGCCTTTAATGAGGTCAGAAAACAAGGCATGTTTCATCACGTGAAGTATTGTTCATGTTTCAAGAGTCGTATAATGTTAGAAGTGCGGTCGCGTTGAATCGTGGACTCTATGTCGATGCCGGTTCGATTGCAGTTATCGAATTTCAGTCATTTCTTACTTTGGTTTATTTCGAAAATCGCGTTCGCACGATTCCATAAACCGCTCAGACGCGATTTCCACCATTCATAGTCAGTGCTGCGGCGGTTTCCGCGTCTCCAAAACTCACGATTCCCATATTAAGAGCATCACATCTTTTTTCAGTTCTAGAAATCCTAGTGGTAGTGGTGCGGTGTGAGTGTTGTGTAGTAGATGTCTAGCTGGCACTACGGAGAGTTGTCGCAAGCTCGAACTTGGAAAAACTACAGTGGGAAATGTTGGGCTCCTCACCAAAACGGCCATGCTTTATGATAATCATTTCATGATCCAAGGGTATGGTGTTTGATTGCTGTTTGTACAGGTTTTAATTAAGCGGTCTCTTGCGTTTAGATCTTTGACGGTATAAGGAGTTCGCCAATTCAATCCACTGTAATCTAGGACTAGGGGAGCGGTAATAAACAAACAAGGTGAAAGGGAGAATTAGGTAGTATTGTTTGGTTGTGAGGGATATCGCATGTGTTCTCAAACCCTACTACCAGCTTCTGGCGCAGGTGTCTACTGTTTTCGTGTAGAGGAACACTTCATGTTTTATCATCATTAAACTACCTAACTCATTTGAAACTGATCAAACTGCTAGTTATCAAGCTTTTATTACGAATCTTTTCTAGGAAATAGGGAGCCTTCCCTAGTCGTATTTGTGACACAATTGCCGTAGAACTTTATTCTACAAGTTGATCTCTACTAGAAACTGGTCTTTCTAGCAGTAGAACTTTATTCTACAAATTGATCTCTACTAGAAACTGATAGGTGCATAACGGTTGAATTCCATTCAACTTTTGCGGGATTACCTGTCTCCTAATTTTTGCCCCAGTAAGCCTCGACGAAGGCGGTAAGCGAGATAATTGTGGATCGAATGTCGAACAATAGAGAATTTGTAAGAACATATCCTCTAATGTTTTCTGTAATTTCGCTTTGAATAATGACCAAATGTGCATGAATCAAGCATTCTTCTTTGCTCACATCCCTCAATTCCAAACTGATAGGTCGATTTGACTCATCGACTTTTTCTTTCATAGTTTAATCACATCTGATTTGAAAATGCGTAAGAAACACTGCTTCTGTTAAGAAGAGGCTGTTAGTGGTCACATTTCTGAATTTAGGTAAGTTCTTCTTTGTCTCGTGGAAAGCGTTGTATTTTATCGCTTATAATCCCGTGTGTATACCTATAATCCCATATGTTTATGCTTCCGAAGTCATTCTAGTATCATACCTTTCCCTAAGTTTTCTAAGCTGCTGAGAATGCTTAATGAATTATGATTTGCTTTTGATTATTGTTACTATTGACTATTGGACGCTTTCAGAGTCAGCCGGCCGGCTCGCGAACGCGAGCGCGCGCGTGCCGGCCGGGGGCGGCGCGTGCCACCTGCTTATAAACTTAATGTTGATCGATACCGCTGGCCTAATGACTAATTTCTCGGCATTGAAAGCTTTTCAGTGTACGCTTTCAATGCCGAGAAATTAGTCATTTGGCCTGCGGTATTGATCAACTTTCAGTTCGCAAACAAGTGGCAGCGCCGCCTCCGGCCGACACGCGCGCGCGCTCGCGGGGCTAGTCGGCGGACTATGAAAAAAGCCATTCCATTTGCTACGTACCACAATGCCATGGTTTTTTTTTCACCGAATAAAGGATGAAGGGGCGTTGATCAATCCCGTCTGAGGGATGCGCCCTCGCATTCGACTTCCATTCAGAAACGTAATGGTGTATTGAATGCGTATGTGACCTATACACTGACTTGCAGTGGCCAGCCAATGTACTAGTCAGCGCTTTTCTCCTCCCAGACAAGTCCGGTACCAATTGACCGACCCCGAAAGGATGGAACGCCTGGTTGGCCTAGACAGATATCGATCCAGGGTTCGAACCCCTGACCATGTTTGTGTGATAGTGCGCCGCTGCCACTACACCACTTCCGCCCCTTTCACCAAATATGGGCTGAAAGTGGTGAAACTCCGTATGGGATAGAGGTTTGTGAGGTGCGCACGTGAGAAGACAGGTGTTCGCTTCTTTCTAGAAAACGTGGCTGACAGATGATCTGACCTCTGAAGCTCACTTCGAAAAAATTTGCTATGAATGGATGTAGGCTTAGGCCTAGAAAAAAAAGGAGGCATGGGACACTTGCTTCCAGGCCTCTTTAGACGCACTCACGTGAGGCTCGCTCATGCGCCCCAGCAAATAAAAGCGGAGTTTCGTATACAAACCATCTGCTTCATTTTGCTTTCTATTACACCAAAGCGTATCTTACAGATTTAAACTCAGCGTTAGCGCTCTGCCGTTCTTTTACGCCAGTTAGCCACGTCAATACCCAGTGTGCGGTGGACCGATTCCGACAGTCCTGCAGTTTTGGCGCCTGTTTGTTGTAGCTTTCGAAACCTACCAAAGTGAGCCTTTTCTTTGTTGCCAAGACAGTTTAGGGATGGAAGTGGAGCATTCTACTTTGTAAAAATTGCGTTCTAATTACATTTCTAAATATAACTCGCTAATAATATTGGGCCCCTTTTTTATATGAGATGCGTGGATTTATAGGTGTTTGTTTATATATGGGCATATATTAGGGTGTCCGGAAATTTTAAGAAAAGTATGCCTCTTAACTTTTACAACATGTGTATCCCAAACGCGCCAATGAAGGACTACAGGTCCGATAGCAGGAAAAGAGACTTGTTGATAGATCAGTACTGTAGCTGATCTATTTTGACGCGGTCGTTCGAAGTATTTAATTTCAACCGAACAATGTGTTATCGATAGGACTTCTTTTCGCCGTTACGGAACTGATCGCTTCGACGACGCAGACCATGGAAGGGTAGTTCACTCACCATGGCATTTATTATGGTGACCAGTTAATCGATAGAGTTTCGAATGCTGTTCACGAATATGAAAATTGGGATTGCAAAATTGCTTCCCTAAAAGAGTTATGGGGGCTCAAAATACGCTTGACAGTACAGTCAGTTGGAAATGCTAATTCGTCGCTTCGTTAACAAGTGTCGCTTGGCGGTGGTGGTTGTCTCGCTTCACGGAGAGCGGGTTGGTTTGCTCGCTATCGTCTAGTTTTTTGCACAATGTTCTTTCCTTTCATGAGGGCCTTCAAAACCTTTGACATTTGTTTATTTCTACTTTCACTTGCGCGTCGCATCTGTTCAAGGAAGAATGGTTTTGCACATTAATCCTGTGACTTTGTTTTATGTTAAATAGCAAGAGACAGTCAACAGAAAGATACCAGAGATGGCTGTGAGGAACTCAACGTTGATGGAACGACGTGAAAAAAGTGAATCATACATTTTTCTCACAAACTGCTCACTTTATACTGCTGCTTCGCTACAACCGTAGCCAAAACAGTCATTTGTCTCAATATTCAACGAGTGCTCGCCAGGAGTGAGACACGAGCCTATTCTTTCATCAACGTACCCTGTCTTGTACCAAGAGCATTTCAATTCGAATGATTTCTACTTCCCGTTCCATCATCCACGTGGTTCTACACAGAAGTCACTTCCAAGGCAGGACTCTGCAAATATTGCACACTCCTTGACTGAGAAAGTGCGTCGATTGCGAGTCGGAGTGTATCAAAAGCTCCTTGACTGTATGCAACATCAACTGACTTCATTATTTTCAGGATAAAATGTAGATGCCATATGAAAATCTACGCAGGAAATCGCAATGTCTACCAGTGGAGGTAAGATCCCAGCTCGCTTCAAAGCGTCGCGCTGGCGCTAAGAAGGACATGAGTTGGTTCTTCTCTTCCAACCGGGTGTCTCACTGTGAGATCCTACCAGAGCGTGCTGCGGTAAAGGCAACAGTATTTTGTCAACAACTGAGGAAATGTGTTTCGAGCCCCCATTTCACACCGATTACAATGAAACTTTTTATTGGCTGGATAATGCTCGACCACACCATGCGAGAACGCCAATCGATGAGCTGGAGAGGCTTGGTATAACCTGACTACACCACTCTTCACATGTTCATCTGACCTCAACCCAAATGAGTGCCAGTCTTTCAGAAGCCCATAGGCCTGCTCCAAAGGGAAGAATTCTTATGTTTGTATCATCCTCCCTTGAGAGACACGATTAGCATTCCTTTCGTTCTGAACTTACGTGAAGAACCTGACCATCCCGCTGGCGGCCGTCCTGAAATTTGTTAGAGTTATCGAGGGATCCAGT